GCAGCGAGGGTCGCTGCCCGGCGCGGTTCGGGTTCGTTGGGCTCCCACCTTGCAGCACGACGGCCGTCTTCCACCCGCTCCTCTTCAGAGTTCCCAACTTTTTTGATGGATTTATAAAATATTGATAGAGACGAAGCCGCGATTCAAGGCTGGTGTGTCAGAGGCCCTTTACGAAAATGGTGGAGAGTTATTGCAGAACAACGGATTTGGGGCGAACCATGATGTAGGTATCTCAGAAGCATGTTCACCCAACATTCTTACCGAAATTAAGTTTATCGTCCGAGTTAGTACTGGAGTCAGGGTTGAAAATGTAGGAGAAAGGTAATACCTAATAGGAAAAGGCTTGGACGGACAGGCTCCTCCCGAGCCACCCACTCACCTCTCCTGTCCTGTCGTCATGTCCTCTGCTTGGGGCGCTCTTGATGTTCTCCCATAGAAGGCTAATCCTATTCCCCTTTCAAGATTCAGCTTAGGTGACACTTGCCTCCTGGCACCCAGTTATCGGAGGCCCGAGGTAGTGATCTCCTTGTCGGCTTCCCCAATACCTTGGACTTCTTTGAGGGCTGGAATGGTGGCCGAATGGCGTGTATGGATTGTAAGGTAGTTAACACCATGTAACACCTAAGTAAGGAAGAAAGGAATTAGCACAATAGGATCCCAATATCAACTTTCAAGTACTTGCCTATATACACACACTGGTTTTCCAAGCACCTATGAATTGGCAGTTTCCTCGCCACTGAAGTTATTCTAGAAGGGTTTGACAACTTACTGAAGGTCTTTCTAAGACTAACCCTTTCTTTTTTCAGACCTATTTACCGCCTCATTTGCTTCCCAGAGAATGCAGAGAACACATTTCGATTTCCCGGTTAACAGAGACAGTCTTACTTTTTTGTCCTGGCTTGCATTCCTCAGTCCCCAACACAGTGCCTTATGCTCAGTGGGCACCTAGTGGATGGTTGCAGATTCCTCTTACAAGTAAATCAGTGATGCCCCTCGGCTAAATCAGTAGAAAGTGACCATGCATGACACCCAGGGCACCTGAGACCACTATAAGCGCTACTCCAGGTCTTACATCTTTCCTTTCTTTTCTACTTTGTTTCTGCACCTTTCCTCCTGGCACCCAGTTATCGGAGTCCCAAAATAGTGATCTCCTTACAGGCTTCCTTGCAATTCTTTGTATTCTCTTTAGTCCACTTTTCTAAACTTTTACTCCCATTCTGTTGAGGCTTTTTGGGTGGGCACCTAGGGGTAGGTTGTGGATAGTAGTCCTATTTTGGCTTGAGCTTCATATTCACAAAGATTCAAAGTAGACTCCAATGTTATTTCCAAAAGAGATATACATGGCAGATGAAAACGATGTTGATGTTCTTTTTGCAACATTACTTATGAACTTTAAAAATCTAACTGTGAATCTATAACTTTAAAAATCTAAAATATACTGTAACTTAGTAACCCAGTTTGGGCATTTCTCCTTTTTTTTTTTTTTCATTTTTTGAAAGTCTAAGAAATTGGAATTAGCCAGGCTCTTACTCAACTTCTGAAATTAACTTTATATTTCCTCTTCTGACTCTAGTTGCTTTTTCTCCTGCTTCTTGTTCATGCCAAATAATGGAAGGCATGGTGGTTCTCTGAAATCCTTTAGTGCTAGAGTAAACACCTTGAACTTTAATAAGTTCTCTTCCTTGGCCATGTGTCAATATTTTTTAAAAGATAGAGACCACTTACAGTGAGCAGAAGAGTATCAGGTCACTTGTCAGAACTCAATCATAGGATATGGCTGGGCAAAACAAAGCAGGAGGGAGCTACAGCTGTTACCTGCAGTTGCATGTAGCCCAGCACTGCTTCTGTCAGTCAGCTGAGCTCAGAGGAGCTCCTACTCTCCTGAAAAGGAGCTGGTAGTGGCTGACAGAGCAGGTGAGATCTGATTAGGCAATCAGAGGGGTGTGGATTTTTATTTAAAACTAGTGACCCAGTGCATGGATTCATGCACATTGAAAGGAAATTAATTAGAAGGTGGCCAGGGGTCAGGATTGGGAGAGAAGAGCCCGCCCCTGGAGCTAACCTCCCGCGGTCCCTCCCCAGCATCTGCGGAGTGAGCGGGGTCTCCCCGGCAGGTGGGATCCCTCGGGCTGGCCTGTGGGGATCCCGCTGAAACTGGCTCTCCAAGATCCCCTGAGGGGTCTTGGAGTGCGAGAGGGCACGCTGCAAAGTTGCTGTCGTACAAGGTGTGGAACGCAAATGCAAGTGTGCAGTATACCAGATTTGGGGCCGATAGTGCCCCAGCAACAACATAACCCACAGCCGAAGGTGGAATTGTGCAGTCCTGCGAGGAATCAGGCTCCCTCCTCTCTGGTTTCGGGGTGTGTCACCCAAGAACCACGAATGCCAAGTCACTGCAGCTCAGCAGCTCCTGCATTGAGCGTCTGCCCCCTGGTGGCCAGTACGTGTCATAGCAACTGGTCAGAAGGTAGGAGGGACACTTAGCATATTAGCCATTTATATATATAGACTCAAGGCCTGGTGCACGATTCATGTACCAGTGGGATCCCTTTTGGTTGAATGGATGACCAGATGACCAGACACTTAGCATATTAGGCTTTTATTATATAGGATTGTATTGAATTTTTTTGGGTGACATTTGTTAATAAAAAGATAGAGGCTTCAAGTGTACAATTCTATAATACATCATCTGTACACCTGTACCTAAAGTTAAGTCTCCTTCCATCACCATTTATCCCCCTTTAACTGTCTTCTACCTCACTCAACCCCCCCTTTTCCTCTGGCAATTAACATACTATGGTCTGTGTCTTTGAGTTTTTGTTTTTGTTTTTTTCTTAATCTCATCACCTTTTTCACTCAGCCCCCCAATCTCCTCCCCTCTGATAGCTGTCAATCTGTTCTCTGTATCTATGAGTCTGGCTTGTTTCACTTAGCACAATACAGTGGAACCGGGTTTTCCAATTTAATTCATTCCAGAAGGTTGATGGAGAAGCAATTTGCTAGAAAACCCATTAGTAATAATGTAAATTGAATTAATTTGTTTCAAACCCCCGAAATGATTCCGTTTTAACCTTTCTTATATACAGTACATGTCTGATGTACTGTTTATAAACAAACACTTCTTAAATTAATCAAACCAACCCCTACTAGCCTTAAAAAAATTACTTTCAGCATTCATTCCAGAGGTGTCTTTTAGGAAGTCAGTATGTGGCACTTTATCAAATGCTTTTTTTGCATCTATTAATATCAGCATGTGTTTTTTATTTTTCATTTGGTTTATGTGGTGTATCACATTTATTGATTTGCACACATTGTACCAACCTTGCATCCCAGGAATAAATCCCACTTATCATGATGTATGATCTTTTTAATGTATTGCTGGATCCGATTTGCTAATATTTTTTGAGGATTTTAGCATCTATGTTCACCAGGGATATTAGTCTATAATTTTCTTTCTTCATATTTGTAGTGTCTTTTTCTGGTTTTGGAGTTAGGATACCGCTGGCCTCATAAAATGAGCTTGGGAGTGTTTCCTCCTCTTGAATTTTTGGAATATTTGAGAAGGATAGGTTTTAATTCTTTGAATGTTTGGTAAAATTCACGTGTGAACCATTCGGTCCAGAAGTTTCGTTTGCTGGGAGTTGTTGTTTTTATTACTGCTTCCATTTCATTAGTTATAATCAGTCTATTCAGATTTTATGATTCCTCTTGATTCAGTTTTGGAAGATTGCACATTTTTAGGAATTTATGCATTTCATCCAAATTGACCAATTTGTTGGCATATAGTTGTTCATAATATTTTCTTATAATCCTTTGGATTTCTGTGGTGTCAGTTGTTACTTCTCCTCTTTCATTTCTGATTTTATTTCGGTCCTCTCTCTTTTTTTCTTGATGGGTCTGGTTAAATGTTTGTCAATCTTGTTTACCTTTTCCAAGAACCAGCTCTTGGTTTCATTGATCTTTTGTGATGTTGTTGTTGTTTTTAGACACTATTTCATTTATTTCTGCTCTGGTCTTTAATATTTCCTTTCTTCTACTCACTTTTGGCTTTGTCTGTTTTTCTTTTTCTGGTACCTTTAAGTGTAAAGTTAGATTGTTTATTTGAGATTTTTTGTTTCTTGTAATGCTATGAATTTCCCTCTTAGGACTGCTTTTGCTATGTCCCATAGATTTTGGGTTGTTGTGTTCTGTTTTCAATTTGTTTCAGGGTACTTTTGGCTTTTTCTTTGATCTCATTATTAACCCATTCATTGTTTAGTACAGTGATTCCCAAAGTGGGCGCTACCGCCCCCTGGTGGGCGCTGCAGCGATCCAGGGGGGCGGTGATGGTCACAGGTGCATTTGTTTTAACTTTTTTTGTATTACCTTTCTATTCTGAGTTCAATAAATAGTTTCATAATTTCAAACTTCAATGTTTCTAATTTACACCTTTCTTTACTATATTTTACGAAAAAGGTAGAAACATTAATACATATATCTTTCTGTTTAATTGCTATTAAAATTTTAAAAAAATTAATTTCCAGGGGGCGCTGAGTAATATTTTTTCTGGAAAGGGGGCGGTAGGCCAAATAAGTTTGGGAACCACTGGTTTAGTAGCATGTTATTTAGCCTCCATGTCTTTGGGTATTTTATAACTTTTTGTGTGTGATTGATTTCTAGTTTTATACCATTCATTGTCTTGATATGATTCAGTCTTGAATTCATTGAGACTTGTTTTGTGTCCTAATGTGAGGTCTGTCCTAGAAAATGTTTCACGTGTACTTGCACAGAATATGTATTCTGCTGCTTTGGGGTAAAATGCTCTGAAAATATCAATTAAGTCTCTTTCATCTAGTGTTTCATATAAGGCTGTTGTTTCCTTGTTGATTTTCTGTCTGGAAGATCTATCCATTGATCTCAATAGGGTGATAAAATCTCCTACTCTGACTATATTATTGTCAATCTCTCTATTTCCGTAAATAATTGCTTTATATCTTTAGGTGTTTCTACAAATGTATATAAGGGTTACAGCCTTTTGTTGGATTGCTCCCTTTATCATTATGTAGTCTCCTTTGTCTCTTACTATAGCATTTGTTTTAAAGTCTGTTTTGTCAGATATAAGTATTGCTACCCCAGGTTTTTTCCCCTTTTCCTAGAATGAATTATCTTTCTACATCTCTTTTCTTTTAGTCTGTGTGTATCTTTTGTTCTGAGGTTGGTCTCTTGTAGGTAGCATATATATGG